TTAATGTACTTATTGGTTTACACAAGCAAAATTCTGAATTTATAATGACAATTATTATAAATACATCATAATATTTTGTTGCATTATTCCTTTATATTTTATTATATTTTATTGAATGATTTATATTATGTGCGGATTTAATAACAAAATGAGCCAGTCTAAAAATTATTAACGGCGAGACTTTTTATTCTTTCCGCGATCGTCATCAGATTCATCCGCACGGATTGTTCCATGCTTACGTTCGTCAGCTTCAATAAAAACGTATAATGTGAATATAAAATTCAATATACAATAGATAATAATAATAGTACATACCTCTGCGGGCCTTTTCTTCATGCTCATCCCAATCTGGGGCTGACTCATCACTTTCTTCTTCAGATTCGGTACCACCGACATCAGTTGCATCTTCATCAAAACTACTACCGTCACTCTAAATTTAATTATGACAATGGTAAATAAAATAAAAAAATAAAAAAAAGCTTGAACATGACACGTACAGAACTTTCTTCGAATGAGTCTTCACTTTGCATGTATTCACTCGCAGAATCCGAAGATGCAGCAGAATCTTCATTCTACAAAAACAAGTATTAATTTATTTTATAATAATATCATGAAATCAACTTTATAATTACCTCACTGTGTAATTTTAAAAATGACCATCCTCCTTGTTCAAAAAAATCTGCAGGATCCGAATTGATTGTTTTCATAATTTGAGCCCAATTTAAATTTTGGGTACCTTCATAAAAGTTTACGTCTACAGAGCTAATAATGATTGACAAAATTTACAAAAAATTAGTAATTTGTATAAATCAACATAATGTTTTTAAGGATATACGCACTCTAACCAATCTTTAACATTTTCAAGTTGGTTCATTGGAATGGTATTGATATGAACAGGAGGACGAGAATAATCTTTAAAAATAAACACAAGATCGAAATTTTTTAATCCAAACTAAATAATATGAAAGTATGCTATTAGAATGGATTATTAAATGAATTTAGTAATTAGATCGTTTCATATATTAATATTTAGCAACCTGAACACGTTCCAGATGTGCGATTTCGATATCGGGTAGTGGCACTACCAAAAATGGCGGGTCCGTAAGATGAACAAGACATTCTGTTGTGGGTTGTAATAAAACATTAGTCCTGAAAGGAACTCCTTGAAAACCAATTTCGCGGAATGGAATATCGACATCAACACGCCCTTCGCTCTAAAGGAAAAACTATTAGAATTTATTTCAATAAAGATTATTAGTTT